CGTGGCTTGTGTATAGCTCTGAGCGACTGCATACCCTTCTATAGTTGGAAGGTCAGGGAAAGCCACTGATGTGAATGAGCCGTTACTGCCTGCTTGTTCCAATTATTATATAGGATTTGTATAGCCCCAACAGTTTACACAATACAGTTACAATACAATCAAATACAGGAGGGCCAGGATGGATTTGACTTAAATTAAGTTGATTTAAATCACTAGTGAAAAGGGTCGATTTAAATCATAATTTTTAAAGAGCAACTGTCATCTCTGTCCCGCAGCGGCGCCTCCTCTGACCCACTGTTGACTCACCGACAGTACCATTCATTTTAATGGGACGGCTGGTGATGTGGCAGTGACACAAGGCGAGGGACGTGGCGGCAGTATATGAGTGGATGCCCACTAACAGGCGCTGCCAGGATGGATCTAAAATGACAGGGTGTCCTTTAAATGTAAGGAATCCGACTCATTCTTGCTGGTAATCTTTAATATTTGAAAACCAAATGAAGGTTTCCTTTTTAGAATAATAAGCTGTCATGTTAGGATAAAAACAGCGATATCACAACCGATTTTAGGTTAATAGCTTAATCACATACTACTAAAATTTTTTTATTCCATGTCTTTTCTCATGGTTACTGTGAAATTGTGTGAATGTATCAATGCAGTGCATGTTATCTCCGCTTGCAGAACTTGGAGTCACTGAATGACTTTACCAAAAATGTAAATATTGCAGAATATACAGCCTCATGCTACGTAACTAAGCTCCATTTCATGCTGAATAAACTAAATTATTAATGTATCTTAAATAGAAAACTATATTTAGATAGATGTTTACTCCAAAAGCATTTTATTAAAATAAATTTGATAAAAATAAAAAGAATCCAATTTAAATTTAAAAAATCAGATTTAAATAAAAAAATCAGATTATTTTTTTTTCTTAAAAATTCATTGATTTTTATCCACCATGAGGAGTGCTTATAGAGCCCTGATCATGAGATCTTACAATCTAGAGCTCATTTACACCACATAACTTTTGCCATAACACCTGTTGTAACGTGCATTAAGATAAAGCACAGCAACGCCCTTTAGATGTGCATTGTGGTGTGTTGCCATTTAAATAATTTCTCCCCAACACACATCTACAGCGTTCTGCAATGCATCTGCATTATTTCACAACGCAACCCACAGGCACATCTAAAGTGAAAAAAATTGTACAGGATCTACTGGTTTTTTGGGTGGGTTGAGGTAGACTGAGAGGCCAATCGAAATAAATTGACTGCCTAATTCAATTCGCCTGAAGTACAAAAAAGTGAGCTTTGCCAAGCATTGGATTATGATGGGAATTCAGAATAAACTGAAGTAGGTGATTCAAACTTTTTGATTGTGGTCAGTAATGTTAACCGTTAACCGTTGAGCATTGAGTTTTAAGATAGCAACCGGAGTTTATGGAATTTTGTATAGCTATCTTGTAGTGTAGCAAACATAAGCTACTTTGTTGATTAATGATAACACCATCTATTTGTTGAAGTCATGAGGAGAACTAGTATTTCCAGTGGAATTAGTTGTTTGGTCAGCGACCCATAGTTCAGTCCTGGGCTTTTTTTCAGTGGGAACATGGGGGAACACAGCACCTCCAGCACTGGGTGTATTTAATGACAGGGGGGCTGGGTGCTGGAGGGTCTATTGATGCTTGCTGCTAGAGAATCTATTGTTGATGGAGGAGATCTGTTTTTTTGAGTGGGTGTCTATTGTTGCTGGTGGAGGATCTGTTGTTGCTAGGGGGGCCTTATCTTTCTGGGGGGTCATTTTATGCTGGAAGAAATCTACTGTTGCTGGAGGGGGTCTATTATTGCTGGCAGCTGGAGAATTTAGAAATTTGATGTTGCTGCCAGGGTCCATTGTTGTTTAGGGGTCCTATTGTTGCTGGGGTAATCTATTGTTACTGCTCTATCTTTAACAAATTCCAGATTACTTAGCACAACAGTATGATACTTGGCTCTGTATTCTCTAAAAGGGGCAGTACTGGGAAGTGGGTAGATTGTACATTCCAAGGAGCAGGGCCCTCCTAACCCTCTTGTATTGAACTGTATTGTTACTGTATTGTCTCCCTTTATATTGTAAAGCGCTGAGCAAACTGTTGCCGCTATATAAATCCTGAATAATAATAATAAAGGTGGAACCAAGGGACAATGCTCGGAGGTGGGTAGAGGTCTCTGCAGACAGTGGTGACTCAAGAAGGAATTTCCTGCACCTATTCTCAGAGAAAAAAAAGACCTGGTTGAATCTAAGTCTGTTGCAGGGGTGGACTGACAACTCCTGGGGCCCCCGGGCAATAGGGGATCATGGGGCCCCTGTGTCCTTGCCCACACTCAAAAAGCCTATGAAAAAGGTACCAGGGGCATCTCATGGGGCCCCCTACTGACCCCGGGCCCTCGGGCAGTGCCCGAGTTTTCAAATGGTCAGTCCACCCCTGGTCTGTTGTCTCAAGCTATACCTGAAGTCTGGACATACATTTAATTTTTGGTATGGACATACATTTTTTTTTCTGACTGCAAATGTCATGTGGACTGAGGAACTGAATAAAGTCTGTAGAGTTAATAGGAGTCCTATGGAGTTAGGCAGTGATTGCACATGACTTGTAGGAGAGAATGTGGGGGCAGCCCTGCAGAGAGGATGGGGCATAACACATGGCTGGACTGTGTATGAAGGCAAGCCCATAACCATGTCTACACTGGCTGGAAATCCAGGACTTGGACCAGTAAATGAAAGATATCAGAAAAGTGGTACACATTCATATTTTGCAAGTCTATTTGCTTAATTTTCTGATCCCATCATACCTATTGTGGATGGGTTATGGTGTACTGTGGTGTTTATAGTGACTTAAATTGATGAAAATGTCATGTACACTTTCTTGTGTTCTACCTTCTGGCTGAATGAAAGAAATCTAACAAATTCCTCCATCCAAGCTAAACAGTGGGGATGTATGAACTCTCCTGCTGGGCTATTGTATTCTGACAGCCACCGGTGGTCGCCATCAGAATACCTGAACAGCAGCTGCATCTGATTGGATGCAGCCGCTTCTTCAGCCAAAAATGTTCCAGCAGGCCCCTTCAACAAAAACTGATTGAGCAGAGTGGGGCTGGCAGGGCCTCCCATTGCGAAAATGTCAGCTGGTTTGATATGACCGGAGTAAATTTGTGCAGTGTGTGACCAACTTAAAGTATAACTAAAGGCAAAACTTTTTTTTTTTTAAGTTTTAAATAGAATGGAGAGGGATTACAATCCCTGCCAAGTTGTTATTGCTGTCTGTGCCTTCTCCCTCTCTATTTGTCCTGTCTACCATTATCATTGAAAGTAATAGAAAAGAAAACCCCAAGTTTTGGGTTGTCCCCAGAAAAGTAATAGAGGGGAAATCTTCCATTAGGGGCACTAGTTCTGGTGACCTGGGTGTCCCCATGGAATTTACTTAATTTGCAGGGATTTCCTCTTGCTTCCTGTTTGGCTATGGGACAGGAAGCGAAGGGAAATCTCTCTAATGGGACACACACAAAAAAAACTCTATTCAAAATGAAACAACGTTTTGCCTATATGTAGCTCTCTCTAGATGTGCTACTAGATTAGTGTAGGCAAATCTATTGTGTATGACATGGTAACTGTGTGAGTCTGTAGTTAGGTCTGGCTACTGCAGGTCAGGCTGGGTGACTTAACAGGTTGGGACTCTATCGCCTCCACCTGGAGGACCATGGGAACCTTCCAGAAGCTAGTAGGTGGAAGAGGTGGAGACCTAATCTGCATGTTTGTGGGAGTCTACCAAGGCCTCCAAACCTGGAATTGGTTATAGTGGTGGACCAGCCTATAAACATGGAATAGTCAGGACAGTTGGAGAGTCGAAGATGGAGGAGACTGACAGTGGCCTGGGAAGAGTCCCCTAGGTCTGGGGGGGCAGCCTCCACGGTGGGCTCAAGCTGGCTCAAGAGGGTCCATTCAGCAGTACTGCATGAACAGAATCAAGGCCTGGGAGCAGTGGGTACAAGGAGGACAGAGTGAGTACATCAGCACACCCAGGGATCTACAAGGGGAGAGACTGCCACATGTAGCAGGGGGGCTAATCCTTTATCCTTGTCCTGGGAGATCTTCAGATCAGACAGGAGGGCTAGTTGTGTCTGCAGGCTGTGGAGCTGGGAGCAGTTCTACAGGGGAGAGGAGACATCTCTGCATGTAGTTTGCAAGAAGCGCAGTTGATTTCAGAGGGGCTGTGGGTCCCTCACCCATAAGGGGCTGTTGCTACTAATCTGCAAAGACTGATGGCGTTCAAAGAAAAGACCAGTCCAGGATCTGTTTCTGTAATTAGTAAGGAAGTTGTCCCCATGCATTGCTTCAATTAAGTTGGGCATCCCATAATCCCTATCCAAGTTATTTCCCCTAATAAAATAAAAAAAAACAAGTTCATGCACTGTTCACTGACTGTGGATGCAAGTGTGGAAAATGCATGTTGCCTGGCTGTGGACAGTTTAGGGGTACCAAGAAACACAGCGGCCCTCACAGGGGTAGCTCTACGTCTAGTTCTACTTTAAGTTAAAACAGTGTAGCTGTTTGGGAGTAAAAATAATAATTATATTAAACCCCAAAACAAGCATTTATTATATTACAGTTTACAAGTTCTACATCTAAGAACTGGTAAGCTGCAATATAATAAATGCTTGTTTTTGGCTGCATTATTTTTTTTTCTTTATGGTGATCCGACCAGTAAGTCTGTTGTTTTTCAAAAGAACAAGCTCTCCTGCAGATGCAGAAGTTAGATGGTTGGCAAACTATTTACCACTGACAGCGATGCTTACTATTATAACATTTTATTTATTTATCCCAAAAGGAAAACAAATGTTGCCGTAACTGCTTTGAGCCCTGGTTCACACTGATGCGGTGCGGAATTTGCAGCGTTTTCAGTGCAAATTCTGCACTGCATTAGAATCACACCCTGTTCATGCGAACCGCTGCGGGTGTGTATGTTAACCTCTTGCCGTCCGCCTGCTGTTTATAAACGGCAGGGCGGTGGCAGTCCAGGGGTGGGTTGCCGTTCCATTGCTTTTCTAGCTGTGCGCGCTCCCTGGGAGCACGCACCACCGCGATCCGGTGCCCGCTGTGTCCTCCGGGACACAGTGAAACACTGATCGTCGGACGGGACCTCTGTACGAGGTCCCGATCATGTGATCACTGATTGGCGAATCAGTGATCACATGCAAAGTAGTAAGCAAGATGTCACTTGTGACATCATTGCTTACTACGTGTGAAATCTGTGAATGATCACAGAGGTCACATGGTACAAGGCTATTCACAACAGCCTTGTACTATGTGACAGGCTGTGACCAATCCCAGCTCACTCAGTACTTGTCAATGACTGCAAGAATGCAGACAGAGAGAAAGAGAAATGATTGCTTTTACATCCTATATGGGTGTAAAAGCAATCAGTGTAAAAAAAAAAATAAATAAATCTTCATCACCCCCCACAAGTAGTACAGTGTCACCATGGTGACACTGTACTGCTAGGGTGACAGTATGTAAAAAAATAATAACATAAAAAAAAAATAAAATAAAAATGTAAAAAAAAATGTTTAAAAATTATAATTTTTGGTTTAAACTAATTTGGATTTTTTTTTTTACTAAAAAAAAAAACGGAATAAATTTTGGCCAAGATTTATGATGAAATATTATTTATTTGCAAAATTTTATAAAAAAAAAAACACTTTTTTTCAAAATTTTTGGACTTTTTCATTTACATAGTAAAAAAAAAAAAAATCCCAGCGGTGAATAAATACCACCAAAATAAAGCTTTATCTGTCTCAAAAAAATGGTAAAAAATTCATATGGGTACAGTATTGCATGACCGCGCAATTGTCATTCAAAGTGTGATAGCGCTGAAAGCTGAAAATTGCCCTGGACAGGAAGGGGGAAAAAGTGTCCGGACAGGAAGTGGTTAAGTTTACAACACCATGAAAGCAGTCCACACAACACAGTGTGATGTGCAGAATCAGAATGCATAGGTGTGAATACCCATGCAAACCGATTCTAGTGCGGACCAATAAAAGGGTCCTGCCTGTTTTTGGTGGGGATGCGGTACGATTAGAGCCATAGAATATGTATGGTTCGAATCACACCGCACACAAATCACATGTGATTTATACAGGAATGCGATGCGGTTCCTGTGCGAATCACATGCGATATACCGAATCGCATATATGTGAACCCGGGCTGGAGTCTGGCTTCCATTTGTTAATCTAAATATGCTAGCACATATAACACTCCCCTCCCCCCAGAGTGACAATGCTGCTGTCCAAAGGGGTCTCTCTTGCTCCGTGGTCCAGAGGGAGGTACTCCAATACAGGAAGTGTATTTTTGGCCAGATCACCAAGTGAAAGGGGGGGGGAAAAAGCCTAAAAAAAGAAAACGAATGCAGCCACTACATCTAATAATCACAAGATGCAATATATTACATTTTTGGTTTTGGGTATATTATTTAATAGCTGATGTTTTTGGAAAAACTTGAGACATTGGCGCACAGCCTGTGTACTAGGAGCTGTCTTGGATAACCAGTTTCAATACATCCCAAAAGACTGTTTATTGACAAAGAAAATACATCCCGATAGAGCTTACCATTAACACTCTCTCCACACTAGTCTTTGTTTAGGATTGCAACTATCCAGCAGTCATAAATGTAGTTTAGGTGTGTGCCTTGTATATGTGCTTGTCTCGGGCAACATTGCTCAGAATTTTTTAATTCAATGGTGATGGTTCATATAGGATGAATTTTTTCGATATTAAAATTATTTTAATGATTTGAGGTACATTTTAGATTTAATTTTTTTTAATATATTTCTGTGTAAACCAGTCCTTTCTTTATTATTAATAAAATATGATAAGGCTTTAGTATTGCTTTGGATTTTTGTAGAATTCCTTAGAAGTTTTTTTTTCTCGTATTTTAAATAGTAGAAAATGATTTTCCTCTTATTCCAATGCTGCTTTTATATAATTAGATAGACCATAGTTACTTACCTTTAATAGGTTTGGCTTTAAGACAAGGCCAAAGTACAATGATGCCACAGGATTGATAATTTTTATGATGCAGTGGAGCAGTAAACCCAAAGTCAAAGTCCACTCTTTAGTCTAAGAAAATTGTTAATGTCACACTAAGGTGGAAAGAACCCATTTGTTAATATACGTCTCTTAGCTTTAAAAAGGGTGTGTGCAGACAGGAATCCCCGCGATGATGCAGTTTGCACGAGTTTGGGATGATGAAAATCTTGACACTGTTGTGCATGCTTGCTAATTTACATTTTTTTAAAGTACATTTTTATTACGTTTTGATAATAAAAGGAAAAAGGAATTACTGTATAGTAGAGGTCAGCAACTTGTCGATCGCAGGCAGGTGACAGTTAGATCACATCCCTTGGTTGCCGACCCAGGACCCTGGAGAAAAGAGGCAGTGGGGGCAGCATTTAGTGGAACCGATTGCTGGTGTTTTCTTCCCTTCAGCAGTTGAATGCTGGCAATGCCCGCTTCTCCTCCTCACCCTCCCACTCAGGGGTGGACTGACAACTCATGGGGCCCCCGGGCAATAGGGGATCATGGGGCCCCTGTGTCTGTGCCCAAACTCAAAAAAGCCTATGCGAAAAAGGTACCAGGGGCATCTCATGGGGCCCCCTACTGACCCCAGTCCCTCGGGCAGTGCCCGAGTTTCCAAATGGTCAATCCGCCCCTGCTCCCACCGATAATCAGCTGCAGCAGAAAAGAAAATACAACCCATGAATTCCACTCAACACCGCCCCCGCCACCCCTCCTCTTCAGGTTCTTCTTTTTGATGTTGCCTGGCCTCTGTGTTCTCCATTGGACCCCCTGCAGCGCTGCTGGGTTCCCCTCCTCACTCCTTCTGCCAGCTGCTGCAGTGGATGTGTCAGGATGGAGAGCTAGGAAGGAGCCGCTAAATGTGTCATGCGGCCACTTCTTTTTCTGAATGAATACAGACAGTGATCAGTACTGATCACAAACTGTGTCCATTCATAACTGAAGCACAGTAAACTATGTTTACTATGCTTCAGTTTGTGAATGAAGAGGAAGCCACTCAGCACAGAGCACTTCCATTTATTCACTGTACAGGCTGAATCTGTAGAGAAAGACACTTGTAGATCTGTTTAGACCCCTGATTTCACCACAGCCCAGCAACAGGGCTCCTAAAAAATTGTAAAGAAAGTAATAAATAAAAATTGCAAAAATAATAAAAATGAAAAAAAATAATAAAGAAATATAATAATACAAATAAAAAAAACTACTGACACCAACCTTTACTCTACTGATACCATCCACACTACTCTACTGACACCATCCTCTGCCCTACTGAAACCATCCACACACCATCTACTGCCCTACTTATACTGTACACTGCCCCACTGACACCATCCACTGCCCTGCTGACACTATCCACATACCATGCACTGCACTACTGACATTGTCTACTGCTCTAACACCGTCCATTGCCCTGCTAACACTGTTCACTGCTCTACTGACACTGTCCACACACCATCCACTGCCCTACTGACGCTGTCCGCACACCATCCACTGCTCTACTGATGCCGTCCACACACCATCCACTGCTCTACTGACGCCGTCCACACACCGTCCACTGCTCTACTGACGCCGTCCACACACCATCCACTGCTCTACTGATGCCGTCCACACACCATCCACTGCTCTACTGACCCCGTCCACACACCATCCACTGCTCTACTGACGCCGTCCACACACCATCCACTGCTCTAAGGACTCCGTCCACACACCATCCACTGCTCTACTGACACTGTCCACACACCATCCACTGCTCTACTGACACTGTCCACACACCATCCACTGCTCTACTGACGCCGTCCACTGCTCTAAGGACGCTGTCACACACACCATCCACTGCTCTACTGACCCCGTCCACACACCATCCACTGCTCTACTGACGCCGTCCACACACCATCCACTGCTCTACTGACGCCGTCCACACACCATCCACTGCTCTACTGACGCCGTCCACACACCGTCCACTGCTCTACTGACGCCGTCCACACACCGTCCACTGCTCTACTGACGCCGTCCCACACACCGTCCACTGCTCTACTGACGCCGTCCACACACACCATCCACTGCTCTACTGACCCCGTCCACACACCATCCACTGCTCTACTGACGCCATCCACACACCATCCACTGCTCTAAGGACGCCGTCCACACACCATCCACTGCTCTACTGACACTGTCCACACACCATCCACTGCTCTACTGACGCCGTCCACACACCATCCACTGCTCTAAGGACGCCGTCCACACACCATCCACTGCTCTACTGACGCTGTCCACACACCATCCACTGCTCTACTGACACTGTCCACACACCATCCACTGCCCTACTGACACTGTCCACACACCATCCACTGCCCTACTGACACTGTCCACACACCATCCACTGCCCTACTGACACTATCCACACACCATCCACTGCCCTACTGACACTGTCCACACACACCATCCACTGCCCTACTGACACTGTCTACACACCATCCACTGCCCTACTGACATTGTCTACACACCATCCACTGCCCTACTGATGCTGTCTATTGCTCTGCTGACTGACACTGTCCACTTTCAAGGTAGGCTAAGTTTATATCTTTACAGTGACATTTGTTTTATTCTATTTTTATAAGTTTCCTTGTTAGTTATGCCTTGCTAGTTAATTAAAAAAAATGGTGAACTTTGATCTCTTTCCTGTTGTTCAGGTAAATCTCTACAGCTGGAAAGTGCAGAGTAAATATACATCACACAGCAACGCACATACTTAGATAACAAAAGCAATAAAAAGTATCGAAAACAGAACTGTATGGCTCAAGCAGATATATGGTAGAAGAAATCCCTCTATGATTTAGTAGTGAATCACCAGCTAGTGAAAGAATTTTATAATATAGTGGATAAAACAGTAATGTCAAACCGTCAAATACCAAATCCTATGTAAATACGTAGGAATACTTAGGCTCCATGCACATTGGGTGTTTTAATAACGCTGGTAACGTTAGCTGTGCAAAGTCACGTTAAAAACATGAGTTTTTCAGCGGTTTTTAGTGTTTTTGTATTAGTGTTTAGCCGTGTTTGCATTTTTTAGAGTTTTATTTTTATAAAAAATTTTTTTTTAGTAAAAAATGTCCAAAAAAGCTGGTTTGCCATGATTTACTGCGTTTTTCAGTGTCAGAGCATTGTTACAGCTAAAAAAAGTCCTCTAGAAACCCACTAGTCCTGTTGATT